ACAATGATGCCAGCCAACAATAATGATGCCAGCCAACAATAATGATGCCATTCAACAATAATGATGCCAGCCAACAATGATGCCACCCAACAATAATGATGACAGCCAACAATAATGATGCCAGCCAACAATGATGCCACCCAACAATAATGATGCCAGCCAGTAATGATGCCAGCCAACAATAATGATGCTAGCCAATAATGATGTCAGCCAACAATAATGATGCCAGCCAACAATAATGATGCCAGCCAACAATGATGCCAGCCAACAATGATGCCAGTCAACAATGATGCCGGCCAGCAATGATGCCAGCCAACAATAATGATGCCAGCCAACAATAATGATGCCAGCCAACAATAATGATGCCAGCCAACAATAATGATGCCAGCCAACAATAATGATGCCAGCCGACACCGACAGCACAATTTGTGATTGACGGCCCTAATCTGTTAGCCAATCAAATGACGGTGAGGATTTTCACGAGAATTCCGTTTATTCACTTTGCTTTCACTTTGTTGGGTATGTTGCGGGGAAAATTATAGTGCTAGCCTCTTGGACGCTCAGGTGATTGTTTGGATTGTTTTTTGGTCACTTGTTTTTGGCTCCTATTTTCTCAATTTCATCAAAGGTGTTAATAGAAATAATACAGTTTATGTTCTCCGGTATGATTACGTTTTGCGTCTTCCTACGTTCCTCATAGTGAACATTTCATTAGGCATGCATGATGTGATTGTATTTCAGACAATTTTCTTAATTCCCTCATCTATGTTTCAGTTATTAGGGGGATAGATATTAAAGTCAGTTGATTTTTGGTTGAACCCTCTTCTTATTTAAAGTTTTTTGTTCCAAAAAGACAGAAAACTGCTTGAGGCTTTTAACGAAATTGGAAATGCAAGAGAACGGTCAGACTCTTCTCCAATTATTGTTTTGTTTCACCTCCATAACTGGTCAAGTCACAATAAAAGCGAAATGATTGCTTGACATTGGATGGGCATTTCTGCACGAGCGATGGAGACCTTTATAT